TTCAGTCTTCTGTGATGTATATAAAGTGTAATATTGGGATGGTTGAAGGGGGGTGTCCCTCCCCCCTATTTTGGGGTTTTATGTAGAAAGACTGAGAAGCTCAGTTCTGGTGAATTTTTAATAGGACATTCTATTCCAAAATGAATGAAAATAAAATGATGATGACACCATCTAAAATACAATTTCCACCTACAGAAATTTGCCAAATAACATATTGGTAAAATGATTAGTTAAAATTATTTTAACATATTGGACCATGCATATAAGCTATACAAATCAAATCAAATTTTATTTTTCACATGCGCCGAATAAAACAGGTGTAGACCTTACCGTGAAATGCTTACTTACAACCCTTAACCAACAATGCAGTTCAAGAAATAGAGTTACGAAAATATTTACTAAATAAATTAAAGTAAAAAGTAACACAATAAAATAACAATAACGCGGGCTATATACAGGGGGTACCGGTACCAAGTCAATGTGCGGGGGTACAGGTTAGTCGAGGTAATTTGTACATGGAGGTAGGGGTAAAGTGACTATGCATAGATAATAAACAGCGAGTAGCAGCAGTGTAAAAACAAAAGGGGGGGGGGGGGTCAATGTAAATAGTCTGGGTGGCCATTTGATTAATTGTTCAGCAGTCTTATGGCTTGGGGGTAGAAGCTGTTAAGGAGCCTTTTGGACCTAGACTTGGCGCTCCGGTACCGCTTGCCGTGCGGTAGCAGAGAGAACAGTCTATGACTGGGTGACTGGAGTCTTTGACAATTTTTTTGACCTTCCTCAGACACCGCCTAGTATATAGGTCCTGGATGGCAGGAAGCTTGGCCCCAGTGATGTACTGGGCCATACGCAATACCCTCTGTAGCGCCTTACGGTCGGATGCCGAGCAGTTGCCATACCAGGCGGTGATGCAACCAGTCAGGATGCTCTAGATGGTGCAGCTGTATAACTTTTTGAGGATCTGGGGACCCATGCCAAATCTTTTCAGTCTTCTGAGGGGGAAGAAGTGTTGTCGTGCCTTCTTCACGACTGACACGACTGGACATTGATAGTTTGTTGGTGATGTGGACATCAAGCAGCTTGAAACTCTCGACCCGCTCCACTACAGCCCCGTCGATGTGAATGGGGGCGTGTTCGGCCCTCCTTTTCCTGTAGTCCATGATCAGCTCCTTCGTCTTGCTCATGTTGAGGGAGAGGTTGTTCTCCTGGCACCACACTGCCAGGTCTCTGACCTCCTCCCTATAGGCTGTCTCATCGTTGTTGGTGATCAGTCCTACCACTGTTGTGTCGTCAGCAAACTGAATGATGGTGTTGGAGTCGTGCTTGGCCACACAGTCGTGGGTGAACAGGGAGTACAGGAGGGGACTAAGCACGCACCCCTGAGGGGCCCCCGTGTTGAGGATCAGCGTGGCAGATGTGTTGTTGCCTACCATTATCACCTAGGGGCGGCCCGTCAGGAAGTCCAGTATCAAATTGCAGAGGTGTTTAGTCCCAGGGTCCTTAGCTTAGTGATGAGCTTTGTGGGCACTATGGTGTTGAACGCTGAGCTGTAGTCAATGAACAGCATTCTCACATAGGTGTTCCTTTTGTCCAGGTGGGAAAGGGCAATGTGGAGTGCGATTGAGATTGAGTCATCTGTGGATCTGTTGGGGCGGTATGTGAATGGGAGTGGGTCTAGGATTTCTGGGATGATGGTGTTGATGTGAGCCATGACCAGCCTTTCAAAGCACTTCATGGCTACTGACGTGAGTGCTACGGGGAGGTAGTCATTTAAGCAGGTTACCTTTGCTTTCTTGGTCTGCTTGAAACATGTAGGTATTACAGACACGGTCAGGGAGAGTTTGAAAATGTCAGTGAAGACGCTTGCCAGTTGGTCCGCGCATGCTCTGAGTACACATTTTACATTTACATTTTAGTCATTTAGCAGACGCTCTTATCCAGAGCGACTTACAGTTAGTGAGTGCATAAATTTTCATACTGGCCCCCCGTGGGAAACGAACCCACAACCCTGGCATTGCAAGCGCCATGCTCTACCAACTGAGCTACACGTCCTGGTAATCTATCTGGCCCCGCGGCCTTGTGACTGTTGACCTGTTTAAAGGTCTTGCTCACATTGGCTAAGAAGAGCGTGATCACACAGTCATCCGGAACAGCTGGTGCTCTCATGCATGCTTCAGTGTTGCTTGCCTCGAAGTGAGAATAAAAGCCATTTAGCTAGTCTGGTAGGCTCGCGTCACTGGGCAGCTCGCACCTGGGTTTCCCTTTGTAGTCCGTAATAATTTGCAAGCCCTGCCACATCCGACGACCGTCAGATCCGGTGTAGTAGGATTCAATCTTGGTCTTGTATTGATGCTTTGCCTGTTTGATGGTTCATCTGAGGACATAGCGAGATTTCTTATAAGCGTCCGGATTAGTGTCCCGCTCCTTGAAAGCGGCAGCTCTAGTCTTTAGCTCGGTGCGGATGTTGCCTGTAATCCATGGCTTCTCGTTGGATTATGTATGTACGGTCACTGTGGGGACGATGTCTCCGATGAACTTATTGATGAAGCCGGTGACTGAGGAGGTATACTCCTCAATGCCATTGGATGAATGGCATCAGGTATGCTATTAGCAATAAGCATTACCACCTGTAGCCCAACTGATGCAGCATAGTGGCTATAAATAAATAGGCTGAAGCATGGGGTTGTCTATCTGCATTTACCCTATTGGGCTAATCATTATTCCTGCATCGGGTCGGATACCCATGGATGAGCCACTGGCGGGTGGAATGAAAATATTATTTCAACCCGTGGGTCGGCTCGCGGTTCAGAACAATTACATTGCGGGTCGGAAACATTTTAAATCAAGATACTTTTTAAAAACCCAGGAGCTTGTTGTGTTGTATTTTGTTTTGCGAATTCCATTCTATGCTCAGCGAGGCAGACACACCAGCCACGCACACATTGAGAGTGTGTGGAGCCGGGAACTCTCCCTTCTGTGTGGTGCAAAAACGTTCTAATTTGTCCACTCGCAGAGTTTATGTTCCCTCTCCCCACGTGAGAATACAACACGTTGCCAAAGCTTTCCCTGGATAGCCTAGCTCACGCAAAAATGACTAACCTTGGCCTAACCAGATAAATATACTGAAACAAAAAATAAATGCAACAATTTCAAAGGTTATACTGAGTTACAGTTCATATAAGGAAATCAGTCAATTGAAATAAATAAATGAGGCCCTAATCTATGGATTTCACATGACTGGGCAGGGGTGCAGCCATTCCCAACACCATTACACCACCGCCACCAGCCTGTACCACTGACACCAGACAGGATGGGGCCATGGTCTCATGCTGCTTACACCAAATCCTGACACTGCCATCAGGATAACGCAACAGGAACTGGGATTCGTCAGACCAGGCAATGTTTTTCCACTCCTCAATTGTCCAGTGTTTGTGATCGCGTGCCCACTGGAGCCACATCTTGTTGTTAGCTGATAGGAGTGGAACCCGGTGTGGTCATCTGCTGAAATATCCCATCCGTGATAAGGACCGACGAGTTGTGCGTTCCGAGATGCCGTTCTGCACACCACTGTGGTACTGCACCATTATTTGCCTGATTGTGGCCCGCCTGTTAGCTTGCACGATTCTTGCCATTCTGCTTCGGCCTCTCATCAACGAGCTGTTGTCACCCACAGGACAGCTGCTGACTGAATGTTTTTTGTTTGTTGCACCATTCTCTGTAAACCCTAAACACTGTCGTGCGCGAAAAGCCCAGGAGGCCAGCCGTTTCTAAAGTACTGAAACCGGCGCGCCTGGCACCTGACTATCATACCACACGCAAAGTCGCTTAGGTCACTCGTTTTGCCTATTCTAACGTTCAACTGAATAGTAACTGAATGGCTCGATGTCTTTCTGTGTGCTTTATATAGCAAGCCACGGCCACATGACTCACTGTCTGTGGGAGCAAACCATTTTCATGAACGGGGTGGTGTACCTAATAGACTGAGTCACGTGTATCTAAAACACAGGAAAATCACGGTTTTGACTGCACTGGGCCTTTAAACTTTTTGGTTTTCAGGAGATCCAGGCCAAGAAGTATAGGCCATGACTTTAACAGACAAAAAAGTATAGGCCATGACGTTTTGTAGATTAAAGTTAGTAAAATAGTAAGATGGCTGCCACGACTCCCAGGGGGACAAATCTGTGGTGGCTCCATATCTAATTGTTTTCATGCTACATAAATCTAGCTTTGTGACAAATTTGTTTTTTTTGTCTCAACAACAAAAAAATCCATCTGAACTGTTAAATAGTGCTACTGTTAGCAGCCATTTCAAACGATGGCCTCCACGCCCCCCAGAGGCCAAATCTTGGGTGTCTCCATATCTAAATATGTTCAGGGTACATAAATCTACATTGCTGACAAATGTTGTGTTTTTATCAAAAAGTGACCGATTTATCAGATTCACCAACCCAGTATTAGGATAGGCACATTCATAGAGATAGTTAGAGGATGCAACATCGTATCTGTCCCATTATGGCGCCTGTGAGAGCATGGGCAGTGCCATTGAGCCATCTCCATTTTGAAGTGGCCAATTTTCTTCTTCTACTACTTCTATGAGTTGGCAAGCAAACTGAAAAGGTGCATATTGCCACCTGGAATGTGTTGTTTGAACAGGTATAAAGCCAATGTGGGCTATTTATGCCACCTGCAGTTATGGTATGTTTGCAATTTGAGTATAATTCATTGGCTGATCCCTCCTTATGATCTGGATGGAATTATGTGATACTTCTTTAACCCATAGGAAGTCCCACCCAGTTGACTACTTCAAAATGGTGAAAGTACTGAATGGCGCTGCCCATGCTAAAACGAGCTTTCAGGCACTGGAGTCCTCCATCTATCTCTATGGGCACATTTCATTGTAGTGCTTGACCCATTATACCCAGTAGGTGGTGACAAAGTGCATGAAAATGAAGAAAAATAAATTAGTACGCTACCTCTCCCGATGACGTATTATCTTGTCACACAAACACAAGCTGCTTTTCATCAACACACATACCAACCTGAAGCCACAGCTCTTAGATCAGTGACTGAACTGTAATTTACAATGGAAGAAGACGGCAAAGAAACCCATTCGAGAGAGAGTAAAAGACGGGAACGTCAAGCAGGTAATCCGATTTATTTACTAAAGCCGGCGGGTATGGTTATTTTCATAGACAAAATGGCCACATTTGCATCTCTTTAGACCACAAAATACCAAAGAAAGTAGTGGAACAGGGACACGCCCTACAAAACGCAGGTGTGTGGTGTGCAATGCAAGTCCAACAACCCACGCATTTTTGCCACAATGTAGCTGACTAAGTAGTTACATTTTGCGACGTTACATTGAACACAGTTTGCCTGCAGTGTTGTGCAGAAGCTACTGGCTTCCAGGTACGTGGGTAAAATCACTGGGAAATCAGAAAAAAAGCCATATTACCACCTATGTGTTGTGATAATTGAGTTGTTTGCTCTATAACCTGTTAGTTCATATGCCTTGCGACCGTGATATATAGGCCTAAAGGCCGAGACAATAAGAAGACAAAGTGGCAGGATAAATTCAACCACCCCTTTGTTTTATCACAAAACCGGAGAGCAACCTCTATCCAGTGAAGTCCACAAAGCATATTGCATGTAAACCAGGGACGGCCTGTTCAATAGGGCGATATGGGCGACGCACTGCCAAACGGGAAAAGGAAGGGATTTTTTTTCTAATCAATTATATCACGGCAACAGTAGTTATCAGTGTTGTAATCTGATCTGACTGCCACTAAATGTCAAATCAGGCTAAAGTCGTGCTTCAAATGGCCCCGCCCGTTTTTGGGGCGATTTCAGTCAGGTTGAAAATCGCCCAGAAGTCTCTCATAGCCTGTCATGTAAAATCTATTTTTTTCAAATTTCAAAGCTTTCAATACATTCTCTATGGGTGTCTGTGGGCTTGCACTTACGCGCTTTCGTCATACGTGACGTAACCATGAACGTAACTAAGAAAATAGCGGCTAGCAGCGTCTCTGTTGCGACCTGCAGTGTGGCGTTATCTTATGTTTTTAATTTGTACACTTAGTGGCGTTATTTTATGTTTTTAATTTGTACACTTAGTTTACAAACATTCTGCCAACCATGGATTTCCAGTGGTGGGTTTTGGACTGATCTTGTTGATCGTGTACATACCCGCTACGAACGGACTAAATAATGAAAACGTTGCTGGCAGCGGAATCCAATACAGCTGGGAGACTTGGCTGGATGACAGAGTCCCGGACAGAGAAGTGGAGCCAGCCGGCTTCACCCTGGTCAGAGCGGACCTCGATCTGACAGTCACAGGGAAAATCGATCCTGGTAAGAGAGCGACTCTGTACCCCCGAGCCCCGACATTGAACTGCTTTCTGTGTCACTGCGACCTTACTATCTGCCCCGTGAGTTCCCCCAATTGTTTGTTACCGTTGTGTACTGTTGATAATCACAAGTTTACTGGAGAACTGAGACCAAGTAGAGACTTTGGACAGGGTGGATATGGTATAATAAAGGCAGTTTATTCAGAGGTAAAGATATCTGGAATCGCGTGCACGGACTCGTTCGTCAAACTCTTAGGGAGCTATCTGAAGAGAGCCCCGAAAACATTGTGTGCAGACATTTTATACAATAAATGATGTAGGTTGAATCTAGTAGTTCTGATCTTCTGATTGGTCCTGATGAGTTGGGCGAGGTCCCCTCCACTGTTGCATTGGCTCTGAGTCGGGTTCTCTGTCTTCAAATGTTCAGCCTAAAGAGAGGGGATTTTTGTGTGTGTGTTTAACAGTGATGATGTGTGTGTGTGTGTGTGTGTGTTATCAGTGATGATGTGTGTGTGTGTGTGTGTGTGTGTGTGTGTGTGTCCTCAGAGCAAGAACTCGTGAGTTGGAAGAACTGAGAGACCTATGGCGTGGGTGTTGTCCTTGGCCACCTGCTGACAAGGCTGACAAGATAGGACTCTTTTGTCCATTGTTATAGGATAGGAACAGCATTGATTGAAAACAAACGCCCAACACAAAATGGGTCATGCACAAGATTTTAGTCAGACCAAGCTATAACATTATATATTTACTACGACAGTACATTCAACCAAAAGCTAATATAACAAAGGCATCAGAGATTATTTATAATCTGTCACAGAAACTGGAATCCATCTCCCCAGATCAGTCAATAAATGCTTCTGGTATTGACTTATATGCTGCCCCTGTCTTCATGTTGTTGCTGGACATATCTTTTTTAAAATGTGTGTAGGTCACCTAAATCATCAGAAAAATTGCCCCTCCTGAGAATTTTTTCAGGAGCCGCCACTGATGTAAACAAACAATTAATTGACCTACAGCATGGTCAAGCAAGTTCAGACCACTAAACAACTTGCCTATTGATTTAGAACCACGGAGAGTTATTTAAGTCGCAAAGAAAACAGGAACTGCCTCTATTCCAACACAATTTTAACATCATCAAATCACCTATGCTTAGTCTAATACAGTGACAACTAAAAGATACCAAAAACAATTTAGTCCAATCAACGTAAGCTAAATATGATGTGGCTGTCCATGGCTCTGAGTTCTGTTTGCGTGTGTGTTTGTGCAAGTAGAAAAACATGTTGACTCACCCTACTTGTAGAGAAACGCCAATGCCATCCTCCTACTTTTCATGTTCATGAATGGTCTATCACTCTGTCATACAGTACACGCTTTTATTTGTTGTCCTAGGCTACCTGGCTAAAATGCTTGCTAGCTAGACTAACTTCCTTTCATGGGCAACGTTAGTTAGTTAACATTAGCCTTCTACATCTAGTTACATATTGAGGCCAGGGGCACAATGTATGAATTAATGGTTGGATCAGAATTGCCATTATAATCATTGACCAGTAAGGAGAATTAGTAAAAACCACAAGTCCAAATCCCTATCTCCATCCATGGCTAATTTAGGAAAGGGCCAATTTTAGCTAGCTAGCCACCGGAGGACAACAACACAACGAGATGCAACAATTTAAGTTGTTTCTGTCATTTACGTATGGTCTCAATGCGATTTGATAGGAGTGAAGCCAAATCCAAACTGGCTTCACTTGACACTTTTTTTTTGGTGCGCCAGGACCATTCACAGTTGAGCTCACTCCGTTCAGCTCAAGGCTATTTTATACCTTTTTTGTTGTTTTATCAAGGAAGGCCAAATGCTCGCTGGATTCCCTTACATTCAATGCTACGGGCGGCAACAATGTAATACGCTTTATGACCAGACATAATCAGATAGATGGTCTGCACATACAGAGACAGAGGGGCGCTGTTTCACACACTCTGATGCTTTCTCCGGCCTCTTGAGAATTGAAGAAAAATTATGAAACACAGAGATACGAAAGATACGTTATTTTATGTATTTTTCTTTTTTCTTGGTAAATTATTTTGGGGTGGCTTCCCTTGGCATCCATGAATACACGCCACTGCTAGCTTCAGACCGCAATTAGGATCTTGACAGGCTCTATCTAATGCCACGTTCAAAACAACTGGGAACTCGGGGAAAAAAAACTAGCTCCGACTGGGAAAAATCGATTTGAACGGTCATCCAACTCGGGAACTCGGGCCTCTTTCTAGAGCTCAGACTTTCTGACCTGAAGATCACTGACGTCATGATTTGACCTCGTATTTTTCCAAGTTCCCAGTTGTTTTGAAAGCGGCATTATTGCAAATAACGAATTAGTAAACATTTCTAAAAACATAATTCCACTTTGTAGGCCAGTGACAAAAATAATCACAATTTTAATACATTTTAAATTCAGGCTGTAGCACAACAAAATGTGGAAAAAGTCAAGGGGTGTGAATACTTTCTGAAGGCACTGTATTATTGCATTTGCAGACTAATGTAAGATAGGCTACTATTCCTAATGTGAGTAGATTGCATAGTCATAATTTAGGCAAATAATATAACTCAATCACTGTTAGCAAAACAGACAGTTCTGAACAATGCATGCCTGAGTACATAGTGACATAGAGTAGGCCTGATCAGAGATGTTTCTTCTCCTTTCGTTGCACAGGAAAAATGTGGCCTTTTTATAAACACATTTCATGCAATTCTACAAAAGTTTATATGACTGGAGACACATAAGTAACATCTTTTTTATGACACAAATTAGTAGCCTACTCTGCTGACACTGACAAACAGATCAGTAAAAATGACCTTAGCCTGAATGCAACCATCTAATCTAGGTCTACGAAAAGGGGAGATTCAAATTGTACTGAATGACGTCCATCTAGCCTGGAGGAGGAAATTATTGTCCCCAAAAACATGTTCCAGTGGTAGTGATCCAATGATAAAGAAAGTGAATATGTGCACACTCACTGGGGATATGGCCAATGCTCTCCACTGGTGCCAATAAGATAGGCTACTGTTCACTCAATTGGGAGTTGAGAATTTTGATAAGAGAGAATTTTTGTTTTTTTTGTTTTTCTCTTTTCAGCAATAGCGATTTGCTTTCTAAACTATGTTTTTCCTACGATTTGTATTTTGAAATATTTAACTGCTTTTCACTGACCGCTGCAACTCAACAATCAGATGTTTGTTAGGCTATTTGCCACGTGCGTTGCTCAAATTGTGCACTTAAAACAATCCACAGCTAATTTTTAAAAGAAGCTAATGATCCTCTGTGGCCAAATCATGTTTGTGTAGTATTTTGAATGGTTTTACTTATTTATGTATAGGTACAAGTAATTATATAGCTTCCCCTAGCCCATTGGACACGCTTCCTATGCCGACATCAATGTGAAAGTAACTGGTGCATTAAACAGCTGGCTGCTAGGCTTACAAGGCCGAGTTCAAATGCCGACATCAAGAGTTGCACTGCCTAAATGGCTGACCCGCAAAGCGGCTGACTGGCAAAGTAAACCCTCTGGCACACTCTGAGAGAATGCTGGCAGCTTCTCTCCAAGTGACGCTCCACATGGTCCTAAAGCCATCCAATCAATACGCTAAACTGCCATTGCATTTTAATTGGGTTTGGATTGATTTTAGTCTACTTTTTTTTTGCCTACTTTTAAATTTTTGGTTTACATCGACTGCCATACCCAACTGACGCCCCTGCTGGGTAGTAGTATAGTTAGGTTATTTGCCCAATGTGGATTTGCCAGATAAAATCCATAACTTAGTGTAGTGTTAGTTAGTGTTAGTATTAGTAACTATTAGCCCTAGAATGCGCCAGAATAGTTTTGCCTACTGGGCTACTATATGAGTGTATCCCCCTCATGCAAGGCTTGTAATGTTACTACCGTGAATGTTTTGTATGACATTTCTCTGTAGGCTCAAGAAGTTTGCTTGCTGATTCTGATACAGGTAGGCGCCTTGAAGGGATAGATGCTTGTTAGATAGCTAGCTATGTAGCCTATAGATTTAATTTAATGAGTAAAACGTTAGTGCTGTTTGTGTTTGCCAAATTTGATTTAAACCGTCTCAGTGGATACGTTTAATCTCTTCTAGACTGTTTATATTCCTCCTAATCTAACAACAATCTGATTGATTGGTGTGGTTTAGGGTGTGAATCTAGGGAAAGGTTAGTGTGATGTCCCAGTCACCTGGATGGGATGCTTTTGCTGGTTTCTGACATGAGACACATGCATACTGTATCTGGGTATTACCGGTAGTTCTAAAACAATTTTCTGCCTAATTGTTTGTAGCCTATGTATCTGATGCACAATTTAGGTTACCAAGGCTGCGTTTACACAGGCAGCCCAATTCTGATATTTTTTCCACTAATTGGTATTTTGACCAATCACAGCAGGTCTTACCACATCAGATCATTTTCAGAGCTGATCTGATTGGTCAATAGACCAATTAGTGAAAAAAATATCAGAATTGGGCTGCCTGTCTAAACGCAGCAGTAGGCTACATTTGGCAAATCACAGAAGAATCCAAATAAAGAAGTTCCCAGAAATGTATGATGTTGAAGGGGCTGCTCTTGTGATGGCTGGGATGTGAAAATGTTTATTTTCTGTCTTCGGTTGTATTTCACTCCGTTTGTATGTTTTTGTATTGTCTTTCAGCCTTGGAGAGCTCGGATACTGACAATGGCCTATGTGGTTGGATCATAGTCGGATTATCCATCCTTCTGATGCTCGCAACTCTGCCTCTCTCCATATGGATGTGTATTAAGGTACAGTTATGCGTGAACTGCGAACTGGTTAGGGGTGTCATTTGTGTGAGTCTATTTATTCTATGAATTGATCACTTACCAGCATGCCTTTATTCCCATGGAAATTGGCTTTCTCTCCTCTTAATGCAACACCTGCTGCCAGAGTTGTATTGTTAGATATTTACTCACTTTAAAGTAAAGAAAAGGGGGATCGTTGAGACCCAATCAGTGGTATTTCAATGTTGACTGATCGGTGAAAAGGTAGTGTGAGAAATGTAAAACGGGCTAGGGGACAACTATAATGATTACTCAGCCTGTGTTTCTTTCTCTCCCAGATTGTGAAGGAGTATGAGAGGGCCATCATCTTTCGCCTGGGGCGGATCGTACGAGGAGGAGCCAAAGGGCCAGGTAATAGATACACTCCCCATCACCACCTACACATGCACTGTCCCTGGAGAAAGTTTCACTGTGCATATTGGCTTTGATTCTCAGATTCTCTCAAGGTCCCATACTTACCTTACCGAAAAGCAACCAAAAACCTTAATTAAACATATTATGATCACAGACAGTATGAGATGGATGAAAAGTGCAGTAAACAGGATATGGGCCTGTCTTGAAACCACCTTAACTGTGAAAATATGTTAGGAGGAGTCAAGCCTCTTCTCAGTGTTAATGTGGTTAGGGGGAAATCTGCTTTGAACTATTTGTTTTACATTGTGGTGGGCTGCTGCACTACTACTGCCATTGAACCACTGTGCAGGGGTGCACTGCAACAGGTCTGTTCTGCACTTCCTGTGGCCTAGTTTAACCACTCCTGTCCTGCAGTAGCTTATGTGTTAACATCATTCCAGAATGTACACAGAATTCCAGGGTTCATGCATGCTTTCAGCAAGCACACTAATTCAAATAGTGGTAGTCTTTCTTTCCTTAAGCATAGTTTGTGTGGTAAGATTTTTGCCTTGGTAACACTGTAAAATATGTCTGGTGTATCTGGTATGACAAACTGAATATGCCAATATGTTCCCTGCAAATCTTCATAGAATACTTTAGCAGAACTTTTAAAGAGGTTGTTATTCAACAAATACGGTCACTACAGAATTTGGCACCAATTGCAATCAATTAACTAATGCTCTTGTCTGAATTAAAGTGATCTGAGAGCTTTACTGCTATCCTGTCTACAGACTGACGTCTTGATGAGCAGCAGTGGGCCCTAGTCATAGTGCTGGACTGGTAGTGCAGAATAAACACCCACATCCCTCTTCAGCCCTCTGCTCTCTCTGATTTTTCTTTTGCTTACCACCAACCCCCGATTCGGAAGACCACTTTGTGTATTTCTTGTTTGTGTGTTGTCCTTCACTCTAATGATATTACCCTTTGATTGATTCTATCCCTACTTGACATGCTTTGCCATGATGTTGTAATGGGTATTTGCAATGGGTGGTTGCAATCGGCGTCCTAATTTCTCTAACTGATGTGCTGAGCAGAGAGCATACCTCTCCTCTCTTGGCTCTCTCTTTGTGGTTGGAGTGGAAGAGTGGTGCTGAGGGTTTTGTTGACAGTTTACCCTCATTATGTAGTGTTATTCTTAAGATAGCTTATTAATTAGCTGTATTTACACTAGTATGAGATTTTTGTGGGGGTCCAGGGGTATGGCCCTCCCATGGAGATTTTTTTTGGTAAAAGCAGCTTTTTACATTACATTTTAGTCATTTAGCAGACGCTCTTATCCAGAGTGACTTACAGTTAGTGAGTGCATACATTTTCCATTGGTGAATTCTGAGGACTCCTTGGGGCTTAGATCTATGGCAAAGGTGGAATTAAAATAACAGTGCTTTTAGCTTGGGGTTTGCGTGCGCCTTTATGCAGAGGGAATACAAAAATTATAGCTAGTTTCTGAAAGAATGATCAGGATTTAATATTTGTCAAATTATTGAGCATATCCTCAAAATTCAATTAAGCATCAGAAATTGTCCTCATTTAGCATATCAAGATCCTGATATAGAACTCAGTCAAGAGTCAGGTGTATTTCAGGATGCTTTGAAGATTGAATGAACAGTCAAAACTTAAAGACTTGGTTTGAAGTACTAAAAGGACAAAACAATATACACTACATGGACAAAAGTATGTGTATGTGCTCGTCGAACATCTCATTCCAAAATATTGGGCATTAATATGGAGTTTGTCCCCCCTTTGCTGCTATAACAGCCTCCACTCTTCTGGGAAGGCTTTCCACTAGATGTTAGAACATTGCTGCGGAGACTTGCTTCCATTCAGCCACGAGCAATAATGAGTTCGGGCACTGATGTTGGGTGATTAGGCCTGGCTTGCAGTTGGCGTTCCAATTCATCCCAAAGGTGTTCAATGGGGTTGAGGTCAGGGCTCTGTGCAGGCCAGTCAAGTTCTTCCACACCGATCTCGATAAACCATTTCTTTTTTTTACCCCTTTTTCTCCCCAATTTCATGGTATCCAATTGGTAGTTACAGTCTTGTCCCATCGCTGCAACTCCCATACGGACTCGGGAGAGGCGAAGGACGAGAGCTGTGCATCCTCCAGAACACAACCCAACTGAGCCGCACTGCTTCTTGACACAATGCCCGCTTAACCCGGAAGCCAGCCGCACCAATGTGTCGGAGGAAACACCGTACACGTGGCGACCGTGTCAGCGTGCACCGCCCGGCCCACCACAGGAGTCGCTAGTGCGCGATGGGACAAGAACATCCCTGACTGCCAAACCCTCCCCTAACCTGTCTCCTGAGTGGCGCAGTGGTCTAAGGCACTGCATCGCAGTGCTAACTGTGCCACTAGAGATCCTGGTTCGAATCCAGGCTCTGTCGCAGCCGGCCGCGACCGGGAGACTCATGGGCGGCGCACAATTGGCCCAGCGTCGTCCAGGGTAGGGGAGGGAATGGCCGGCAGGGATGTAGCTCAGTTGATAGAGCATGGCGTTTGCAACGCCAGGGTTGTGGGTTCGATTCCCACGGGGGGCCAGTAAAAAATAAATAAATAAAAAATATGTATTCACTAACTGTAAGTCGCTCTGGATAAGAGCGTCTGCTAAATGACTAAAATTTAAAAATGTAACCTGGACGACGCTGGGCCAATTGTGCGCTGCCCCATGGGTCTCCCGGTCGCGGCCGGCTGCGACAGAACCTGGACTTGAACCAGGATCTCTAGTGGCACAGCTAGCACTGCAATGCAGTGCATTAGAACACTGTGCCACTCGGGAGGCCTCGATAAACAATTTCTGAATGGACCTCGCTTTGTGCACCTGTCAGCAACAGGTGTGGCTGAAATAGCCAAATCCACTACTTTGACGGGGTGTCCACATACTTTTGCCTATTTAGTGTACTTTAGGCAAGTGGCATTTCAATAGAACCTTTTCTCATTTTGTATGACTTTCTATCAACACTGTACAGGACATAGCATACATGAAAATGTCTTCAAAAATGCTGGCCTCATTTATTTTCAAAGACACAACTGGCATATCCGACTTCAAATAAGTAGTTGCACTGTCAAAACTGGGTCAAGTTTGTAGGCAAGAATGCTGACCGGAGCCTATTTTAATTATTACCTGAACAAATTATTAGAGGGCCTACACATTTATGTGCACACTGAAAACATTTGTGTGGACCAGAATGAGGCTCTCTAAATTGTTCCTGCTGTGAGGAATTGCCATCTTCAGACAATGTTTTTATAACTTATCTGCAGATAATTGTTGTCTATAACTAAAAAAGCAATAGTAACAGTATGCAAATCAGGGAGCCAAATTAACCAAATATTCTTCACTTTTACTGACTCTGGGTAAGTACAAAAGGGTTTAACTGCCAAAATCTTGCACTATCCATTTAACAATGTGGAAGATGTGCTATTACCACACAAATCTCCAACCTCCAGTGATTTCAGGTGACATGGCATTACTTGTGCAGGGGTGGTACTAATGTAACTAACTATAAAGTGGCCGCAGTAGTCTTATCTACCATAGCCACGCTATGGACCTCAAACTCTCAAGTCTGTTTTATATGTTTGTGGGAAGCCTTCCGTCATGCTCTCCATGGATGAAACATGATCTGGCAGGATTCCGGAACAGCCACATGATAGCAGACTGAGGTATTAATAGACCCTGTCCATCTATCACGGAGGGACTTTCACGTTCCTCATCTGCCCTAAGAGCCCAGGCATAAACACCAAAGTTTAGTATTTGGTTTCCCCAAGTAAACTCTGCTCATTATTTCTGCGCTCTCTCCCTCGCCGGTGAGTGAACCAGTGCCATTTTTAGGGTGGGAATCCATGGAATTTTCCATCATATCCCATGATGCCTTGCATAGCAAATTTAGAGCATACTCCTGCATTGCACTATAACCAGGGCCAGCTGGCACTGGGCTGAAGTCCCAGCTTGGAAAAAGGTTGCACAAGTTATATGCCTCTGTTAAGACTCTCTCTTACACACCATCATACCCAGCACACTGTGTTTGTACTGCACTGTATTGTACCATGCTGAACCCGAGTGTGTGTAAACAAAGAGGTGTTTATGAATGCAGGAAATGTGTAGAGTCATGACCAACAGCAGTCGTGTGACTAATGGAACTCGGGTGTGAATTTGGTCTTATGCCAGACATTTACTCAGTTCTACTGTACTGTATGTTAAATAATTTATGCTACCCTTACTGACAATCACATTTTCTCAGCTTTTATGATATTGAGTAGCTTTAAGCTTCGCCGTTAAATGTGTGTTGTGCGTGTGTGTCACACCCCACAGGCCTGTTCTTCATCCTGCCCTGCACAGATAGCTTCATCAATGTGGACATGCGCACCATCACCTTCGACATCCCCCCACAAGAGGTGAGCCCCACCCCCCCCACCCCATTTACCATGATTAGCCTATCATGTACTACCCAGCCATGAACAGTGTTGTCAGTGTAACTGATTGTTCCCCCCTCATCAGGTTCTGACTAAGGACTCAGTGACGGTCAGTGTTGATGGTGTGGTGTACTACCGTGTTCAGAATGCGACCCTGGCTGTGGCCAACATCACCAACGCTGACGCCGCCACCCGCCTGCTGGCACAGACCACCCTGAGGAACGTCCTGGGAACCAAGAACCTGGCTGAGATCCTGTCTGATCGTAATGAGATTGCCCACAGCATGCAGGTACTGAACCACATCGACCACCAATGACTCTGTACTGACCATATCCTGACCATACATGCACAACTTCACATCATGCAGGTACTAGAAGACTGTGTGGATAATAGTTATTTATTTAGTGTTGAACAGCAAGCCATAATTGCCATAATACAGGAGAAGATATTGCGAGAGTTCACTGAATGGCTTTGTTTATAGAATGTACAATGTAATGGTTAAGGTTAGGATTGGAGAAAACGAATTCATTGATCTTCCGGCTATGGCCTTTCTTATTGTTTTGGACCTAGTCCCTCAAGACATTTCATCCTCCAGAAGTACTGCTGCAGTGACATTTTAATCTCTATTAGTTTGATATAAATATGTATTATTGTCACGTACACCAGATAGGTGCATTGAAATGTGTTGTTTTACAGGGTCAGCCAGAAGTACAGCGCCCCTGGAGCAAATTAGGGTTAAGTGCCTTGCTCAAGGGCACATCAACAATGTTTCACATTGTCGGCTCGGGTATCCAAACTAGCGACCTTTCAGTTACTGGCCCAATGCTCTAACTGCTAGGGTACCTGTATGTCAGATTGATATGTCATCTAGTCTTCAAAGAGATGCTGTGTAAGGAAGGGGTGTTCTGGGCCTATTATAACCTGAGGTTACCTATTGGATGTGGAGCTGAATGTTTTACACCTGTGTTGTCCCCAGTCCACCCTGGATGATGCTACAGATGACTGGGGTATCAAGGTGGAGCGTGTGGAGATAAAGGACGTCAAACTGCCCCAGCAGCTCCAGAGGGCCATGGCAGCAGAGGCTGAGGCTAGCCGTGAGGCCAGGGCTAAGGTACAGTACTGACACACATACAGACCAGGGTAACACACACACGCTCAGACATACAGGCATTGTCTATTTTTGAGGTAAATCCTTTTCCTCTGAGTGAAGAATCCCAGTTGTCTTCTCAGCTATATACTTTCTTGGCTTGATTTAGTCCCAAAATAAATCATCCAGATAAATGTTTTTGTGTAGGGTCAAGATGTCATCTGCATTGTTCCTTAGCAACCAGTGGTCATGCCATAAAAACCCTTTCATTAAGCTAGAATAGATAGTAAGAGCATAGCAGGTCACAAGTTGGGGCACCTCTAACCGAGTCTCCTCCCATCGGCCATTACACTAATTGGATACCATCTTCGCATGTTGAATCTGCTGGTTAAAGATGAGGTCTCTCTGGCATTTATTCATTTAATCATCCACTCTCTCTCTGGCTTCTCTCTATATACTCACATTCACTTGATCTGTGCATACTGTGGAATTCTATCTCTCTTCATTAACTAATGGTCCATCTTTTTTTCCAATCTCTCCCTTTCTCTCTGTATCTGTCCCCCTCCTCCCTTCTTCCTGTCCCCTGGGCCGTGTGTGTGTGTGTAGGTGATCGCAGCAGAGGGGGAGGTGAACGCGTCACGGGCTCTGAAGGAGGCCTCCCTGGTGATCGCTGAGTCTCCATCTGGCCTCCAGCTGCGCTACCTGCAGACGCTCAACACCATCGCTGCCGAGAAGAACTCCACCATCATCTTCCCCCTGCCAATGGACATGATGCAGGCCTTCATGAAGAGAGACTGAGGAGAGCCTGATGGATGCTGTGCAATTACTTTTACACACACGAGAAACAATCATTCACACATATATCATATTGTGTTGCTTTGGGAATCTGTTGTAGAAATGTAGTGGCTGTGATTGAGTGAACCGTTTCTCTTGTGCCAAATGTTCTTAGGTCAATGCCAGCTGGTACAGAGTAGCATAGTTAGAGAGCTTGGTTAAGCTTATGGGTCAAAGAACTTAATGTAAACATTTGATATGTGTGTGTGTCAACGCCATTGAAGGGAACAGAGGAACAGGGTTTGAACAAAACCAATGGGAACTGAGTCGCCAGCTCAACTGAGGTGTGGTGTTCCCTGCACTGCTATGAGGCTGAGACCAGGATGTACTAGGGACCCTGTTTGTCTGTCTCTATGGGAAGTAACCTCTTTACTATGACCATTTAAACAACACAAAGCCTTAAGTCATTGCCAAGGGGTCAATGTACTAATCTCATATAGTTCCTATGCATATCTGGATGGAAATTGGAAGTACATTTTAATGTTTTAAAATAGCAGTATTTTATAACCACACTCTTTTGAGTGTGAAAGAAGCCATATGTTATTTGTATGGGATTTGGAAATTGGTCCTCCATATTCTGATAGCATTTATTGCTATATTTCAGTCTGCACTATTAGATCGGTGCTCGTATTGGCACAGATAGTTTAGTGATAGGTTCCATCCAGACCAAAGATGTCTTTGAATCGGAAAAGCACTGTGATTCAGATGCTGTTACAGAACCTATACAGTATAAATTACTTTACTGTATAAAACCTGGTATGTGTTTTATGTGTAAATGACATAGTTCCATTATATATAATGTTACTAAACCGCTCTGTTGTAGCCTATTTTCCTCATATTGAAATGATTTCTTATCAAGTTTATATTTTCATATCATGCAACCTTGGTGTGAAACTTTTTCTAGATAGGTCAATGTAAATTATAATTTATTTATGTATTGACATGCATTTGAACCTGTACTTCAAAACATAAACTTGTATGTTAGTGTTACCGTCATAGCTGTAGTGTGTTCTTTCCACTATGATTCAACCTTGAAATAAAAAGTATATACACACTTCAAATGATATAAGATGGAGACAACCCTCATCACATCTAGTGTCGATGACATAGGTTTTATTGAAACGATAGTCAGGCCTGGGGAAAACCATTGACAGCTGTGAAGTGGTGGCTAATGAGAGTTCTAGCAGCATAGCTTTGGATTCCCCATGAAGAACCGCATTGTAAGGCTGCAGACAGAGACAGGCCAACATGCACTGACCACAGCGACGAGAGGAGTGAGATCTAGAATAGAAGCACTAATGAAGGGTACCCTACTCCTGTTGTGACACACCAAATAAAAACAAAGCTGGCCTGGTTCCTCTCTCCAGCATTCCTTTCCATTATGGCAGCGAACCCCTGCATTGACGAGTCACTTCATACCGAACATGAAGTATTATAGATTAAGGCTATAATGGTTTTATTACTTTGGTGTGGTTATGTCTGGCAGTGTGTTTTTCTGCATTACTACACACCAAGCCTCCCTGCCTCTGTTGGTTCAGAGGATTGTATACTGAACAAAAATGTACACGTAACAATTTCAAAGATTTGACTGAGTTACAGTTCATATAAGGAAATCAGTCAATTGAAATAAATTAATTAGGCCCTAATCTATGGATTTCACACGACTGGGCAGGGACGCAGCCATGGGTGGGCATAGGCCCACCAACTTGGGAGCCAGGCCCACCCACGGGGTAGCCAGGCCCAGCCAATCAGAATGAGTTTTTCCCCACAAAAGGGCTTTATTACAGACAGAAATACTCCTCAGCTTTTTGTGCGTATGGAAAATTTCTGGGATCTTTTATTTCAGCTCATGAAACATGGGACCAACACTTTACATGTTGCGTTTATATTTTTGTTCAGTGTAATATGCTAGGTTTTGGATGTTTGTGAGATACTGAATAGCGAGAAACAGCCTACTGTTGTTGGCATCGTAGAAATAAATGTATAAAATATCTCACACAAACTATATTTAAATGTCCATGCAGATTGCTTTATCTAAGCCTTCGGTTCCATTAAAGCCCTTATTATTGGTCACTTACATGCTCATTTGCATATGTATAAAAGCTAATAAAGTATTATTATCAGGAGAGATTAAAATAGTGCACTAGTGCTCTGTGTCAGCTCAACAGGTGTATGAAAGCCTGTTCTATTCCCACTGGCAGTCAGAAGTAAGGAGGTTGGCAGGGCATAAAGGATTCAACCATTGAAAGTCTCATGACTGGAGCTGCTCAGTGTGTGTGGTAGAGCCAGGCGGCAGGGTTAGGGGTTAAAGGTGACGGTTCACAGCTCCAGCTCAGCCATGGCCCGCTCCAGGGGGTCGCTGGTCCAGTACTCGTGGTCCCAGCCCAGGAACCAGCCGGTGAACGTGGGCGGCTCAAACCCTTGCTTGATCTTCACGATGGGCGTCCTGCGGTCACGGTTGGCAGGGTCTGTCTCAATGTAACGCACAGCTAGGGGAGGAGGGGATTAAATTAGGGTTCTATAGAGAGCAGTTTTCCCAGTGGTAAACTTCTCAATCAAATTATTTTGGTCATGACATGACTAATGCACTCAAAAGGCAGGGTGGCATGTACATTCTCTATGAAAAACAGTCTACATGATAATGAATTAATAATTTGTTAAATTCAGCAGCAGTTTTCCATATTCACTTACCGGAGGCCATCGCCTCACTCTTCTCCTCTTCATGTGCTTCATTCCCGATCCAGACAAACACCTAAAAGAGGTGATTCAACCTACATTAGACTATGTACTGAAATTAAAATCAAATGTATTTGGTCGTGTACACATATTTTGCAGATGTTATTGCGGGTGTAGCGAAATCCTTATGTTCCTAGCTCCAACAGCAATACCTAACAACACATACAAATCCAAAGAAAAGTAAAGAAATAAAAAAATAAAAAAGGATTAAGAATTTATATATATATATATATATATATATATATGTACACATGCATACAGTTGAAGTCGGAAGTTTACATACACTTAGGATGGAGTCATTAAAACTCGTTTTTCAACCACTCCACAAATGTCTTGTTTACAAACTATAGTTTAGGCAAGTCAGTTAGGACATCTACCTTGTGCATGACACAAGTAATCTTTCCAACAATTGTTTGCAGACAGATTATTTCACTTATAAATTCACAATTCCAGTGGGTCAGAAGTTTACATATACTAAGTTGACTGTGCCTTTAAACAGCTTGGAAAATTCCAGAAAATGATGTCATGGCTTTAGAAGCTTCGGATAGGCGAATTGACATCATTTGAGTCAATTGGAGGTGAACCTGTGGATGTATTTCAAGGCCTACCTTCAAACTCAGTGCCTCTTTGCTTGACATCATGGGAAAATCAAAAGAAATCAGCCAAGACCTCAGAAAAAAAATGGTAGACCTCCACAAGTCTTGTTCATCCTTGGGAGCAATTTCCTGAAGGTACCACGTTCATCTGTACAAACAATAGTACGCAAGTAGAAATACCATGGGACCACGCAGCTGTCATACCACTCAGGAAGGAGACGCGCTCTGTCTCCTAGAGATGAACGTACTTTGCTGCGAAAAGTGCAAATCAATCCCAGAACAACAGCAAAGGACCTTGAAGATGCTGGAGGAAACAGTTACAAAAGTATCTATATCCACAGTAAAACGAGTCCTATAATCGACATAACCTGAAAGGCCGCTCAGCAAGGAAGAAGCCACTGCTCCAAAACCGCCATAAAAAAGCCAGACTACGGTTTGCAACTGCACATGGGGACAAAGATCGTACTTTTTGGAGAAATGTCCTCTGGTCTGATCAAACAAAAATAGAACTGTTTGGCCATAATAGCTTAGTGGGTAAGAGCGTTGTGCCAGTAACCGAAAGGTCGCTGGTTCTAATCCCCGAGCCGACTAGGTGAAAAATCTGTCGATGTGCCCTTAAGCAAGGCACTTAACCCTAATTGCTCCTGTAAGTCGCTCTGGATAAGAGCGTCTGCTAAATGACTAAAATGTAAATAATGGCCATCGTTATGTTTGAAGGAAAAAGGGGGCAGCTTGCAAGCCGAAGAACACCATCCCAACCGTGAAGCATGGGGGTGGCAGCATCATGCTGTGGGGGTGCTTTGCTGCAGGAGGGACTGGTGCACTTCACAAAATAGATGGCATCATGAGGAAGGAAAATTATATATATATTGAAGTAACATCTCAAGACATCAGTCAGGAAGTTAAAGCTTGGTCGCAAATGGGTCTTCCAAATGGACAATGACCCCAAGCATACTTCCAAAGTTGTGGCAAAATGGCTTAAGGACAACAAAGTCAAGGTATTGGAGTGGCCATCACAAAGCTCTGACCTCAATTCGATGAAGAACTGAAAAAGCGTGTGCGAGCAAGGAGGCCTACAAACCTGACTCAGTTACACCAGCTCTGTCAGGAGGAATGGGCCAAAATTCACCCAACTTATTGTGGGAAGCTTGTGGAAGGCTACCCGAAACGTTTGACCCAAGTTAAACAATTTAAAGGCAATGCTACCAAATAATAATTGAGTCTACGTAAACCTCTGACCCACTGGGAATGTGATGTATTTTTTTTTACTAGGAGTAAATGTCAGGAATTGTGAAAAACTGAGTTGAAATGTATTTGGCTAAGGTGTATGTAAACTTCTGACTTCAACTGTATATACATAGTGCCTTTGGAAATGATTCAGACCCGTTGACTTTAACCACATTTTGTTACGTTACAGCCTTATTCTAAAATGGCTTAAAAATATATATATCCTCAGTATTCTACACACAATACCCCATAATGACAAAGCGAAAAGAGGTTTTTAGAGATACCTTATTTACGTAAGTATTTAGACCCTTTGCTATAAGACTCGAAATTGAGCTCAGGTCCATCCTGTTTCCATTGATCATCCTTGAGATGTTTCTACAACTTGATTAGAGTCCACCTGTGGTAAATCCAATTGATTGGACATGATTTGGAAAGGCACACACCTGTCTATACAGTGAGGGAAAAAAGTATTTGATCCCCTGCTGATTTTGTACGTTTGCCCACTGACAAAGAAATGATCAGTCTATAATTTTTATTTGAACAGTGAGAGACAGAATAACAACAACAAAAAAATCCAGAAAAACGCATGTCAAAACATATTATAAATTGATTTGCATTTTAATGAGGGAAATAAGTATTTGACCCCCTCAGAGATTTCTCTTAAAGGGAGTGCTCCTAATCTCAGTTTGTTACCTGTATAAAAGACACCTGTCCACAGAAGCAATCAATCAATCAGATTCCAAACTCTCCACCATGGCCAAGACCAAAGTGCTCTCCAAGGATGTCAGGGACAAGATTGTAGACCTACACAAGGCTGGAATGGGCTACAAGACCATCGTCAAGCAGCTTGGTGAGAAGGTGACAACAGTTGGTGCGATTATTCGCAAATGGAAGAAACACAAAAGAACTGTCAATCTCCCTCGGCCTGGGGCTCCATGCAAGATCTCACCTCGTGGAGTTGCAATGATCATGAGAACGGTGAGGAATCAGCCCGGAACTACACGGGAGGATCTTGTCAATGATCTCAAGGCAGCTGGGACCATAGTCACCAAGAAAACAATTGGTAACACACTATGCCGTGAAGGACTGAAATCCTGCAGCGCCCGCAAGGTCCCCCTGCTCAAGAAAGCACATATACAGGGCCGTCTGAAGTTTGCTAATTAACATCTGAATGATTCAGAGGAGAACTAGGGGAAAGTGTTGTGGTCAGATGAGACCAAAATCGAGCTCTTTGGCATCAACTCAACTCGCCGTGTTTGGAGGAGGAGGAATGCTGCCTATGACCCCAAGAACACCATCCCCACCGTCAAACATGGAGGTGGAAACATTATGCTTTGGGGGTGTTTTTCTGCTAAGGGGACAGGACAACTTCACCGCATCAAAGGGACGATGGACAGGGCCATGTACCGTCAAATCTTGGGTGAGAACCTCCTTCACTCAGCCAGGGCATTGAAAATGGGTCGTGGATGGGTATTCCAGCATGACAATGACCCAAATCACACGGCCAAGGCAACAAAGGAGTGGCTCAAGAAGAAGCACATTAAGGTCCTGGAGTGACCTAGCCAGTCTCCAGACCTTAATCCCATAGAAAATCTGTGGAGGGAGCTGAAGGTTCGAGTTGCCAAACGTCAGCCTTGAAACCTTAATGACTTGGAGAAGATCTGCAAAGAGGAGTGGAACAAAATCCCTCCTGAGATGTGTGCAAACCTGGTGGCCAACTACAAGAAACGTCTGACCTCTGTGATTGCCAACAAGGGTTTTGCCACCAAGTACTAAGTCATGTTTTGCAGAGGGGTCAAATACTTATTTCCCTCATTAAAATGCAAATCAATTCATAACATTTTTTACATGCGTTTTTCTGGATTTTGTTGTTGTTATTCTGTCTCTCACTGTTCAAATAAACCTACCATTAAAATTATAGACTGATCATGTCTTTGTCAGTGGGCAAACATACACAATCAGCAGGGGATCAAATACTTTTTCCCCTCACTGTATAAGGTCCCACAGTTGACAGTGCATGTCAGAGTAAAAACCAAGCCATGAGGTCGAAGGAAGTGTCCGTAAAGCGCCGAGACAGGATTGTGTCGAGGCATAGATCTGGGGAAGAGTACCAAAACATTTCTGCAACATTGAAGGTCCCCAAGAACACAGTGGCCTCCATCATTCTTCAATGGAAGAAGTTTGGAAACACCAAGACTCTTCCTAGAGCTGGCCGCCCGGCCAAACTGAACAATCGGGGAGAAGGGCCTTGGTCAGGGAGGTAACCAAGAACCCGATGGTCACTCTGATAGAGCTCTAGAGTTCCTCTGTGGAGACGGTAGAACCCTCCAGAAGGACAACCATCTGCAGCACTCCACCAATCAGGCCTTTGTGGTAGTGTGGCCAGACGGAAGCCACTCCTCAGTAAAAGGCACATGACAGCCCACTTGGAGTTTGCCAAAAGGCACCTCAAAGACTCTCAGACCATGAGAAACAAGATTCTCTATTCTGATGAATCCAAGATAGAACTCTTTGGCTTGAATGGCAAGCGTCACGTCTGGAGGAAACCATCCACCATCCCTACGGTGAAGCATGGTGGTGGATCGTTTTTCAGCGGCAGGGACTGGGAGACTAGTCAGGATCGAGGTAAAGATGAATGGAGCAAAGTACAGAGAGATCCTTGATGAAAACCTGCTCCAGAGCGCTCAGGACCTCAGACTGGGGTGACGGTTCACCTTCCAACAGGACAACGACCCTAAGCACACAGCCAAGAAAACGCAGGAGTGGCTTCGGGACAAGTCTCTGAATGTCCTTGAGTGGCCCAGCCAGAGCCCGGACGAACCCGATCTAACATCTCTGGAGAGACCTGAAAATAGCTGTGCAGCGACACTCCCCATCCAACCTGACAGAGCTTGAGAGGATCTGCAGAGAATGGGAGAAACTCCCCAAAAACAGGTGTGCCAAGCTTGTAGCGTCCCACCCAAGAAGACTTGAGGCTGTAATCGCTGCCAAAGGTACTCCAAAGAAGTACTGAGTAAAGGGTCTAAATACTAATGTAAATGTTATATTTCAGTTTTTTTTATTGCAAACATTTCTAAAAATCGTTTTTGCTTTGTCATTATGGGGTAGTGTGTGTAGATTGATGAGGGGAAAAAAACAATTAAATCCATTTTAGAATAAGTCTGTAACGTAACAAAATGTGGAAAAAGTAAAGGGGTCTGAATACTTTCCGAATGCAGTATATACATATGAAGTGGGTAAAACAGTATGTAAACATTATTAAAGTGACATTAAAATGAATCTGTTATCCACTGTGTTACTGTTAGTACATCTCCACACTTAATCATATTCACATCTTAGAAAATACCACATGCTAATGTATCTACCTGATCCCATGTGTCCATGATCATGACATCATCGGTAGCCAGATCCTCTTGGGTCATCTCCCCAGGTACCTCCTCAATCTGGGTGGAGGGAACCAGGAACATTAGAAAGACCAGGGTTAAAGGGTTAACCACGAATGGCTGATGGTAATAATATGGGACTCACAATGAAGTTTCCGGTCTTGTTGGAGCAGGCAAAGAGCCTGGGTGGATGGGCGTCCAACTTGTCCTTGCTTCTCAGTCTGGAGGAGGTGCGGTACGCTGCCTTCCCTCCCAGAGCCTCCCAGAAGTCATCTGCACAGAGACACACAACAAGCAGTTGGTTAGGACATGCCACAGCCAGCCACAGAGCAAAGAAAAGCCAATGTCCATTGGCACAACGTACAGTACATACCAGTCTCTCCGCCCTCAGACAGTTCTGAGGAGGACACCCCCAGAATGTCACAGAGCTGCTGGGTGCCATTTTTCTCAGTGTCACTGGCCCCCTGGCCCACCCACATGAAGGAGGCTGCTGGAGTCACCAGGAGGAAGGCGTCGTTGGAGTTCAGGTTGGAGGACACAGCATCAACCTAGAGGTGGATGGATGAAACATGGTGGGTGGAAAATGACCACAAGTGTCATGTATTTAAATATAGTGCAGTTGAGTAGCTCATTTCAGAAAAACAGGGCCCTATCCCGATGTTACTCACCTCCACAGCTCTTGTGCACCCTGCAGAGTTGGAGCGCACCTGGAAGAGTCGTGTTTCAGCGGGAGCGGACTGACCCCCGTCTCTGGACGTACCTCCCTTGTACACCACCATGGGCTGTCCCCTGAACAGGCTCATGAGGTGAGCTGGCTCCTTGCCCTGGACTACCCTCACCTGGACCACAGAGCAAACTAGTTAACAAACATCTATACTGTTGTGATGTAGTTGGACACATTGTTAATCATGGTGATTCATGCTGTATAATTTCACAAAAATTATATTCTGTGCAATAAGAAATTCTGAGACCAAATGCAGGGAAAATCAAAAAGCTGTGGATCTTTGGAAGAATATAATTGTATTGAATTACATCTATTTGGAAATCTAGATTTATTTGCGATGCAGCCTTGCATGTGTCTACAATAATATCCCACAGGGTGGCAGCAGTGAGCTCTGAACAACAACAGGGTAGGAGAACTCTGACAGAGTTAAGTGTTCCATGGCACTCCCTACCCTAATCTCCCAGGATGCTGTGCGTCTGTCTGTCTGTCTAGCTGTCTGACAGCAGGACTTCCTGTTTGCTGGATGCAGCCAGTTTGCCTCATCATCCGCCAGCACAAAGGGGACTTCTCTCCCCCTCCCAGGCCGACGGACTGTGTGGCTTTCTCACTGTTTAGTCACTCAAGAGTGTGTTTGTTCTCCTCTCAACACCATTCCTGAAATGTTGGGACCTGCGTGGGCATGCACAAAGCCTCGTTTCAGATGTTTTCCTCCCAAAATTGGAGACTGCTGGACGGAGGGCTAGAGAGAAATTAGGTGCATATTGCACAGAGTGAAAGTACCTCTGTACTGAAAACTTGTGAGGCAAGGTTGCATGTTTATAGTGTGCTGACTTATTTTCATGCATTTCTATGCATTAAGTTCCTCTAAATGCTGTTTATTTTGCACGACTATGTATCATACCGTTACAAATGTATGATAGGTGTCGTCAGCGTTTAGACATCATGGACAGTTGCTTGGAATATAAACAGGTTTGTGACTGAAGTTTCCACCCTGGTGGGCTTCTACACAAATGTAGGATTATTGTTAGTCATGCATTATAACACATCAATAACATAACTACGCAGTGCACAGCAAACATTTTCACACTGTATATAGACAGGAGGGTGAGACACTGACAGGCATAGACAGACACACACAGACAGATACACAGCAAGAGATGGTCACAGACATTCCCAGAGCCTGGAACCTTATACAGAGCCAAGGCATGATCTAGCTAAATCATAAAGAACTGCAGTATAAAAGACAACCTAGAATCACTGGTGGCCTATGCAATGGTCCTTGCTTGAGTTGAGCAAATTTCTTAAGGACAAGCAAGAGAGCTCTTCGTCCCCACAGCAGGTCAGATAATAGGCTGGTCTGGGATCAGTAGCTATGTGTCAGAGTGATAATGCAACAGGATCAGGGAGGGCAAAGGGATCTCCCTCATAAACATGGCTTTGGAATGTCCTGTTTGGGGTCCCTGTTGATTTCAACCGGCTGATTTCTCTGTAAACACATTGAGCCATATCAGTTAAATACAGAGATTCTAAGCCCCCCATGCCTGGTCTATGTACTGAGTCATGCAGCCCTGACAGGGGAGTACCTGGGTGGTAATAGGAGCCCCAGAAACCTGGAAAAAACAAAGAGGCAGGAAATGACAGGAAGCAATGGTGGAGGAAGAGGGAGAATGAGCAGACACACTGGTAAGGAAGGAGGTTACTGGGCTCAATATAGATGAGGCCAAGAGGAAAGTATATAAAAAAGGAATATGCGATGGGAAAAGAAAGCCACTTCTTCCACACACACACCCACTCATTCATTACCTGCACAGGCCCACCACCAAGCTCATCGTCCAACTGGGCACCCAAGATGGCTGAAGCACCAATTTCGTCATGGGAAGAATCACTTCCCTGCCTGAGAGAGACTCCAGTTAGCAGGCAAAATATCTCTACTGATAGTTTCTACTGTTTATTTTCCATCATTTTAATTCTATTTTAATGTCTCTCTTACCACATGTAGATAATATGTCCTTGGCGTCCTCCATGGTGGTAGTTGTAGAGGATGATGTAACTGTCTCCCCCGTAGAATTGTCCATGTGTGGAGGGGTCCACTTCCACCTTGTCTGATCCCTCAATACGCCAGATCTGTCCATACACATACACATGATGTAACCCCTAGTTGTGGCAGGCTACTGAAACAAAGCTGTATATGTAAATACAGCTTGAATAATGCAGAATCATGTCCCTCTCATTTGGTTGCTATCTGTTCATCAGAGATTTACTACTTTAATATCCTTCCTGTTTTGACTGCATTGGGCTGAAACCCAAACATGACTGCCTCACAGTACCTCACAGAATGCTATTACTGTATAATAGCCCTTCTTTATAAAGTTGATAGTTACTCATAGCAATACTCATCCTGATAGTTACTCTAAGAAAGATGAATGGGAAGGCTTGCCGTACAATGTGTACACATGCTCCGGCTCCTCATCTCGTCCACCTACCTGCTTCTCTCCGTTGCCGCCGTCCACCATGCCGTGCTGGGCAGCCATGGCAGGGGAGTCGTGGAGTGTGGCGGCATCAAAGGACACCTTCACTATCTTGGCGATGCTGTTGGAGACGTAGGCCACACCCAGGCCCTCTGTCTGGTCCTTGTCACGCCAGTTCTTGAAGAACTGCTTGAAGAGAGGCGTCTCTCCCATCTCCGGCAGGATCTGCACCTGGGTGTGTTTGGGGTACCCCATCTTCTTGATGAACTCATCTGCTGCTTTCATGGCTGCCTTACGCTCCTCCAGGTTGGCTTCTTTGCCTGGGTGAGAGTACGTGGGAGAGGGAAGAAAAATTCAAAAAATAGGTTTCATTAATTCAACCACTTAGAACTCTAAAGACTGAAAATCAACATTTACGTATAACTATCACCATGGTATATAACTGAGGACCATTATCTTTGGAAAGAATAAACCTCTTCCAGTTCCATCATATAATCTCTGTGTGACACTGTTCAATGTCTCATTCTCTAAATGTGGTCTGTAATGCTATACCTTAAGTGTTACCAAATGGACATGAAAGCAGCCATACCATGCCAAAACAAGTCTAGCTACTGTGCTTTCATTGACTTGCTGAATTGATGGTATTTCTAACTGTGAAAAATCAGCTGATCATAAACATTTCTTTGATATTGGGTGACCCCTGCTGACCTTTCCAGACGAAGATCTTGCCATCAGAGCCGTGATCCAGGATGAAGCAGTCGCTGGACTCCAGTGCACTCTGGGAGAATGGGTTCTCTGCTGCCACCATGGACATGGCCATGTCTCCACTGCCATTGGACACCTGGGGGAGAGGAGGAGAGACAGAGGAAGAGTTGTAGAGGAGAGATCAGAGACGTGTTTTTCTCGTTAGGCACAGGTGTATGTGAAAAGTCCTCATAATGCAACTAGACCAGTTGGATGTTCGTTTCAGTGGTTTGTTCACTGTTCTCCCACCTTGTACAGTTTGGCCATCTTCCTGTTTGAGGCATCTGCTTTGATGTCATCAGAGGATCCTTCAGGCAGGTCTGGTTTATCTCCCAGAACCTGAAGACGCACAGAGAAGATCCCTTTTAGAAGTACTTCAGAAAATAAAACAATACTTTTACCACAGCTGGAGTTCATTAAAATGTCCATTATACACCATAATAGACATCAACCAATCACAGACACAGAGAGAGATAAAGAGAGTAAGAAGACTCTCCTGTTCTTTAATTGTTTATGATCTCACCTCTATCATCTTGTCTCTCTCTGCCCCCTCGTCACACACGTAAACGCGGGCTCGCCCACTGCGCTCGTTGTCACGGATACCCTTGGCAACCTGGGTGGCCTTCAGCTTCTCAAAGCGGTTGCTCTGGGAACCACACCACTGGTAGATCTCCTGTGAGAGGAGGGACACACAACACAAAAGACAGGAATAAGCTAAGGAGCTTTTATTCATTTCATTTTCTTATTCTTGTTTTGTTTTATACCCTTTACAGCAGGGTTCTTCAATTCCGGTCCTAGAGGGCCGAAACACTTCTGTTTTTTATTTCTACCTGGTAGTTAATTGCACTCACCTGGTGTCCCAGGTCTGAATTAGCCCCTGATTAGAAGGAGAGGATGAAAAACAGAGGTGTTTCGGCCCTCCAGGACCGGAATTGAAGAACCCTGCTTTACAGTGTCCTTGTTTGTTTTTTTAAAGGCGCATAAAATCCCATTTATCATTATTATTATTATTATTATTATCATCATTATCATTATCATTATCATTATTATCATGTGGTCAGCATCGACATGGAATTAGTTTGTACAAATATCCTTAAAATTCTTGCAATCTCTCTATTAAATGTTTATATTTTATTGTAAGCAAGATGTGAAACCTACAATGTGCATATGCTTCTCCGTTTTATAATTTAAATGTGACACCAATGTTTGATGACGCCATGTCTCCCTCAGGCTGATGGTAACTCACGCTTCCCAAGTCCAGGATGAAGCAGTCTCCCTGGTTGAAGCTGTCCCAGCTGACAGGCACCTCCGTTGCCCTGACAACACGCCGACCTTTGACCTGCAGCACCCGCTGCATAACCACCTCGTTGGTGACCACATGTTTGAACCCGGATGCCACACCTCCTTTCTAAAACAGTGACAAAAGATACGGCACAGGTATTATGCAGTCATTCACATTTCTAGGGCACATTTCCTCCATACAATTCCAATTTCTAGGAATTGTATGGAGGAATACTTTATACTTTATTCCCATTAAAAAGGTTGATTAGGTTGGTTACTCCAAAACCATTCAGGTATATAACAATACCCCCGCCTGAGGTATGAATGCAATATCATGTGTCATTGGCAGGATTGTAGCAATAATGCAAAAAGAAAATCTCAAATAATATCTCACCAAGTACTTCAGTCCAGCCTTGAAGTAACCCAGGAATACTTTGGACTCATGTCCCTGGACCTCGCGGTACTGGATGGGTTTACCCCCCAGATAGTCATCCATCTGGACTGTGAAGATGGCTGCTGCTCCACTTTCATCCTGGGTGCAGAAATCACCTGGAGCAGAGAAACCACGGATGTTACACACTGAATTGCAACATTTTGCTCTCTTGTCTGTCAATGGAGGCCCAACCCACAATGGCTGCTTAGTCTGCTAGATTTCACAGATGTCACGGATTACTATTTCCCTAAGCAAAACCCAATTGATACATACCGGTACAATGAATGAAGCTAGCTTGGGCATCACTCACTTAGTACATTTCCCATTACATTATGCAGGCATGATCAATACAATGAAATGGGCCTGACTCAGAACTCTGCTGGTGTACATCAATCATAGAGATAGAATTACATTCAATATGGCCACCGATCACAGTACATTGACTTCAAGGAAGATGCCCGTTCTAGTAATTATATTTCTATGACCTCAAATCATATCCACCAGGCTTTGTTATGCAACCCATCATGCTCCTGGTTCTGTCCTCACCCAGCCAGAAGTGCAGGTCATACTGCAGGTTCCCAGAGCGCTGCTTGATGGTGTTGAGGACGAGGTAGGCGTCTCCTGTGTAGAAGCTTCCATACAGGTTCTCTGGCACGGCCACCAGGTCAAACTTCTCAATCCTCCACACCTGCAGGCCCGACTGCTGGCCAGCCTTCTCAAACTCAGGATGGTACACCATGCTGCCTGCATGGAGAAATCACACACACTGGGTTAGAAGGTATGGATGATATATAGAAGATCGTTGTTAACCATTTATAGTTAGGATAAGACAGTTACTGCTAAGAGAAATAGGTAATTCTGTGAAGACAATAAAAGTCGATCTTTAGTATTTGTGGGCATGGTTTGCAGAGGGGAGCCACTCCCTTTACTCAGAGATGTTGCCATGGATATAAAGTTTCAAGTAGTGAGTTATTAATGTCCAGTTGGTGTAGTGACTCATTGGTGCCCTGTGCTCTGGGTGTTTCCTTCGCTCTCTGAACAGGAAGTGCTGTGACTCAGTTTGGAACAGACAGCCCCAGCAGCGGTGTCACCACAGGACAACATAAGTGGGTGCCTACGCTCAGTGAGATTACCACCTACTCTACTTGAGGTCATTTTGGCATTAGATTTTTAAGAACTGTTAATGTCTAACTCGAGTCGTAGACAACTCCTTCCTCCTATCCTCTTTGCAGGTCACTTTAGTGACCACAGAAAAGCATTTCCAAATGTTCTGCCAGTTGTCTAGCTGCCAGGCAATCATGCCTCAGTTGGTTCCTGTACAGTAGCCCTGCCACACACTGTTTCCACAGCACCCAGACCCGTAAGGTGTTGCCCACTGAGAGGGAAGTGTCAGACATCTATATTTTTTTCAGCTTCGTAAGCAGTGACTAATCAAGATAAGCAGTGACTTTATCAATTTTCCAAAACACAACAACAGTTTAAATAAAAAATAAAAAAAAGACTATTACTGTAGGCCCACATCCACACAGCATAACACACCCTGAATCAATTAGATCCACACGTAATGTTCCAGACAGCTTAAACAGGCTGTTCTGTGTACCTAAATAAGCCCGTGTTCTAGAGAGTAAACACAGCATTTTCTGCACCGCGGCCCATCTGTGTGCCTTTGGACATTAGACTCCAACTCATTTATTTCGAAAAAGACTGCGGTTTGAGCAGGCTCCTTCTCCGTTTGTATGACTAACCGTCAGCATCAGAGCAGGCCTTGCCATTCTTCTTGACAGCCCACTGGCCACAACCATGGAAATAATCTGCTCGTGACCTTGTTTGGGAGAGAGAAGTAGTTGGTTCAGAATTCATGCAACCCTGACCCGAAGAATCTGGGGTTATTTTTTCCTCGGTCTCCTCTCCTTTTTTAAACCTTTGACTCATTTCACAAACAGCCACACATTATTTTTAGGATCTCTTTTCTGACATGAAGACATGGTAGTAAGTCTCTTAGCCATCATGATCATCTAAAAGTTTTATATTGATGTTGTTTTCGTTCACACGGGTATCTGTCCTTTTACACATGTTCCACTGTGGAGAACAAACCCTGGATCATAAACAACATATACAGTGTGGGAAAAAAGTATTTGATCCCCTGCTGATTTTGTACGTTTGCCCACTGACAGAAAAAAGCATGTCAAAAATTTTATAAATTGATTTTCATTTTAAATGAGGGAAATAAGTATTTGACCCCCTCTCAATCAGAAAGATTTCTGGCTCCCAGGTGTCTTTTATACAGGTAACGAGCTGAGATTAGGAGCACACTCTTAAAGGAAGTGCTCCTAATCTCAGTTTGTTACCTGTATAAAAGACCTGTCCACAGAAGCAATCAATTAAATCAGATTCCAAACTCTTCACCATGGCCTAGACCAAAGAGCTCTCCAAGGATGTCAGGGACAAGATTGTAGACCTACACAAGGCTGGAATGGGCTACAAGACCATCGCCAAGCAGCTTGGTGAGAAGGTGACAACAGTTGGTGCGATTATTCGCAAATGGAAGAAACACAAAAGAACTGTCAATCTCCCACGGCCTGGGGCTCCATGCAAGATCTCACCTCATGGAGTTGCAATGATCATGAGAACGGTGAGGAATCATCCCAGAACTACAAGGGAGGATCTTGTCAATGATCTCAAGGCAGCTGGGACCATAGTCACCAAGAAAACAATTGGTAACACACTACGCCGTGAAGGACTGAAATCCTGCAGCGCCCGCAAGGTCCTGCAGCGCCCGCAAGCTCAACTCAACTCGCCGTGTTTGGAGGAGGAGGAATGCTACCTATGACCCCAAGAACACCATCCCCACCTGTCACGTTCGTTGAAGGACGAGACGGACCAAGGCGCAGCGTGAGATGCATACATGTTTATTTTAACTTAATAAACACTCGACAAAACAATAAACGAAACGAAACGTGAAGTCCAAGGTAGCACACACAACATACCTTACACAGAACAAGATCCCACAACCCACTAGTGCCAATAGGCTGCCTAAGTATGGTCCCCAATCAGAGACAACGAACGACAGCTGCCTCTGATTGGGAACCACACCGGCCAACATAGAACCATACATACTAGATCGTACAACATAGAACATACACAACAAAGAATATACACACCCTGACTCAACATATAAGAGTCCCTTGAGTCAGGGCGTGACAGTACCCCCCCCCCCCCCCCCCAAAGGTGCGGACTCCGACCGCACAACATAAACATAACAGGGTAGGGGCCGGGCATTCTGCCTCGGAGGTGGATCCGGCTTGGGGCGTGACAACCTCTCACTGTCCGCCTCTCTGTTGCGCCCCTGGTCTGGTTTGGACCTCAGCGCGCTACTTCCCCTCTCCTTCCTCCCACGATACGCCAGGCCCTGTCTGGACCCTGGTGTGGGAGACCCTGAACCTGGAGAGGGGCTGACGTCATGGTCTGGACTGGAGCCGCTGACCGGAGCTGGACTGGGCACCGGTGGAGCGGACTGCTCTGGCTCCGGAGTGGAGCTGCTGACTGGAGCTGGATCAGGCACCGGTGGAGCGGACTGCTCTGGCTCCGGAGTGGAACGGCTGACCGGAACTGGATCAGGCACCGGTGGAGCGGACTGCTCTGGCTCCGGAGTGGAGCAGCTGACCGGTGCCGGACCAGGCACCGGTGGAATGGGCACGGGCCGTGCCGGACTGGACAAACGCACCACTGGTCTGGTGCGAGGAGCAGGCACGGGCCGGACCGGACTAGGAACATGCACCACTGGCTTGGTGCGAAGAGCAGGAACAGGACGGCCGGGCTGGCGACGCGCACCACAGGCTTGGTGCGGGGAGCAGGAACGGGCCGGGCCGTACTGGGAACACGCACCACTTGGCTTGGTGCGGGGAGCAGGAACGGGCCGGACCGGACTGGCGACACGCACCACTTTCTTGGTGCGAGGAGCAGGACTGGGTTCCTTTATTAACCCCCGCTCCTTCTGCTGCCTAACCAGCTCCTCTCGCCGTGCCTCTACACCTTCCTTCTCCCTTCTAGCCTCCTGTAGCGCCTCCCTCTGACCAAATACCTCCTGCTCCCTCTGAACCAATAGCCCCCGTAATATGGTGGCCTCCTCTCCTAACCAGCAGATCCGCCCTGTCGCGGCCACCTGCTGCCTCGTCGTCCACACCGTGTGCCCCCCAAAATTTTTTTATTGGGGTTGCCTCTCCACCCTGATCCCTTTCAGGGCCTCCATCTTTCTTGTCAGATCCTCTCTTATCTCCTGCCAAGTCCATCCTCTCTGCTCCTCCTCGGCACACTGCTTGGTCCAGGTCTATTGGGATCTTCTGTCACGTTCGTTGAAGGACGGGACGGACCAAGGCGCAGCGTGAGATGCATACATGTTTATTTTAACTTAATAAACACTCAACAAAACAATAAACGAAATGAAACGTGAAGTCCAAGGTAGCACACACAACATACCTTACACGGAACAAGATCCCACAACCCACTAGTGCCAATAGGCTGCCTAAGTATTGACCCCAATCAGAGACAACGAACGACAGCTGCCTCTGATTGGGAACCACACCGGCCAACATAGAACCATACATACTAGATCGTACAACATAGAACATACACAACAAAGAATATACACACCCTGAGTCAGGGCGTGACACCACTGTCAAACATGGAGGTGGAAACATTATGCTTTAGGGGGTGTTTTTCTGCTAAGGGGACAGGACAACTTCACCGCATCAAAGGGACGATGGACGGGGCCATGTACCGTCAAATCTTGGGTGAGAACCTCCTTCCCTCAGCCAGGGCATTGAAAATGGGTCGTGGATGGGTATTCCAGCATGACAATGACCCAAAACACATGGCCAAGGCAACAAAGGAGTGGCTCAAGAAGAAGCACATTAAGGTCCTGGAGTGGCCTAGCCAGTCTCCAGACCTTAATCCCATAGAAAATATGTGGAGGGAGCTGAAAGTTTGAGTTGCCAAACGTCAGGCTTGAAACGTTAATGACTTGGAGAAGATCTGCAAAGAGGAGTAGGACAAAATCCCTCCTGAGATGTGTGCAAACCTGGTGGACAACTACAAGAAACGTCTGACCTCTGTGATTGCCAACAAGGGTTTTGCCACCAAGTACTAAGTAATGTTTTGCAGAGAGGTCAAATAGTTATTTCCCTCATTAAAATGCAAATCAATTTATAACATTTTTGACATGCGTTTTTCTGGATTTTGTTGTTGTTATTCTGTCTCTCACTGTTCAAATAAACCTACCATTAAAATTATAGACTGATCATGTCTTTGTCAGTGGGCAAACGTACAAAATCGGCAGGGGATCAAATACTTTTTTCCCTCACTGTATATTCCTGTTTCAGTTTAATATATAACCATTTCATAAACACCAGATCATAAAGTCAGATTTACTGCAAGCTCACAGTGATCTATATTGACAGATCAGCCCAACTCAGCTGTTACCTGAAACTCTGTCCAACACCACGAACATTACCATGTCTCCAGATAGAGAGAACAACACCTGGAGCTCACTGTGTTTCCATGCCTTCATCTGTTTGCATTGCATGAAATTCCTCATGGCAAAATGTGTAGAATAGCAGGAAATTAGTTTAGGGATTCTTGAAAATCGGGGCAATCCTAGTCCGGCTGGGAAACTTTATTTTTATAGTTTAAAAAATTGATTTTGTTGCATTATTTGAGCTTAACATTTACATTTAGGCGAATTTTATAAGGAAAATATTTGTTTTTGGAATTTTCTAAATACTTTCAATTTTATACATTTCCATGTCAGCTCTATGCCTGGAAATGCCCTTGTCCGGAGCAAAGGATCCCCATTTCAAACTCTCCAAAAAAGTGTTTAAAATTATTTTTAAAAACTGGCAATAATGGATACTAACTGAAAAAGTATGTTATGTAGTTTCTTGCAATAGTGGCTTTAAACAATATTTCTCTAAAGACTGTGATTCTTAAAAGATGTGTCTGGAGATTTGGTCTAAAATCCTAAATTAATCAGGAATGAGCAGGGTCAGCTATACCATAAGGACCCCTTATTCATGTCCTCATTACTGTACATGTAGTGCAACAAGACCACTCAAGGTCTGTAAAATGTCTCTACTTTTGATAGATTTAAACAAACAATATTGAAATCACCATGGTCACAACCATAAACTGTCAACTCCATCTGCCTGATAGATAATTCGGTTTAAGAGTCATAAAGCAACTGAAGAAAAACAAAATTGCTACTCTGCATACCACTTGAATGAAGAAGAAAAATGAAATTTGTCAACTCCGTAAAACATCAACTCCATCAGATTTTTTTCTAACGTGAACTCTGTTAAAGTGCTGAAAGATCTGATAAAATGGTTATGTTTTTATTGGGGATTTAAAAATTAATCATTTTCCATACTTACAGTGCCTTCAGAAAGTATTTACCTTTTCCATACTTTGTTACGTTACAGCCTTATTTTAAAATGGATTAAATAAAAACATTTCCTCAGCAATCTACTCACAATACCCCATAATGACGAAGCGAAAACAGGTATTCAGCACCTTTCCTATTAGACTCAAAATTGAGCTCAGGTGCATCCTGTTTTCATTGATCATCCTTGAGATGATTCTATAACTTGATTGGAGTCCACCTGTGGTAAATTCAATTGATTGGACATGATTTGGAAAGGCACACACCCGTCTATACAAGGTTCCACAGTTGACAGTGCATGTCAGAGCAAAAACCAAGCCATGAGTTCGAAGGAATTGTCCGTAGAGCTCCGAGGCAGGATTGTTTCAAGGTACAGATCTGGGGACGGGTACCAAAACATTTCTGCAGCATTGAAGGTCCCCAATAACACAGTGACCTCCATCATTCTTCAATGGCAGAAGTTTGGAACCACCAAGAATCTTCATAGAGCTGGCCACCCGGCCAAACTGAGCAATCGGGGAGAAGGGCCTTGGTCAGGGAGGTGACCAAGAACCCGATGGTCACTCTAACAGAGCTCTAGAGTTCCTCTGTGGAGATGAGAGAACCTTCCAGAAGGACAACCATCTCTGCAGCACTCCACCAATCAGGCCTTTATGGTAGAGTGGCCAGACGGAAGCCACTCCTCAGTAAAAGGCACGACAGTCCGCTTGGAGTTTGCCAAAAAGCACCTAAAGAATCTCAGACCATGAGAAACAAGATTCTCTGGTCTGATGAAACCAAGATTGAACTCTTTGGCCTGAATGCCAAGCGTCACGTCTGGAGGAAACCTGGCACCATCCCTACAGTGAAGCATGGTGGTGGCAGCATCATGCTGTGGGGATGTTTTTCAGCAGCAGGGACTGGGAGACTAGTCAGGATCGAGGGAAAGATGAATGGAGCAAAGTACAGAGAGATCCTTGATGAAAACCTGCTCCAGAGCACTCAGGACCTCAGACTGGGGCGAAGGTTCACCTTCCAACAGGACAACGACCCTAAGCACACAGCCAAGACATCGTAGGAGTGGCTTCGGGACAAGTCTCTGAACGCCATTGTGGCCCAGCCAGAGCCTGGACTTGAACCCGATCGAACATCTCTGGAGAGACCTGAAAATAGCTGTCCAAAACGCTCCCATCCATCCAACCTGACAGAGCTTGAGAGGATCTGCAGAGAAGAATGGGAGAAACTCCACAAATACAGGTGTGCCAAGCTTGTAGCATCATACCCAAGAAGACTTGAGGCTGTAATCGCTGCCAAAGGTGCTTCAAGAAAGTACTGAGTAAAGGGTCTGAATACTTATGTAAATGTGATAACGTTTTTTATTTGTAATAAATTAGCAAACATTTCTAAAAACCTGTTTTTGCTTTGTTATTATGGGGTATTGTGTGTAGATTGATTAAGGAAAAAAACAATGTAATACATTTTAGAATAAGGCTGTAACCTAACTAAATGTGGAAAACGTCAAGGGGTCTGAATACTTTCCGAAGACACTGCACAAATGTTTATATTGAACTTTTATTTTTAGAAGCAAGAATACACAAAAGTATATGGACACCACTTCAAATGAGTGGATTCAGCTATTTCAGCCACACCCGTTGCTGACAGGGGTATAAAAATCGAGCACACAGCCATGCAATCTCCGTAGAAAAACATTGGCAATAGAATGGCCTTACTGAAGAGCTCAGTGATTTTCAACGTGGCACCGTCATACAACGTGCCACTTTTCCAACAAGTCAGTTCGTCAAATTTCTGCCCTGCTAGAGCTGCCCCGGTCAACTGTAAGTGCTGTTATTGTGAAGTGGAAACGTCTAGGAGCAACAACGGCTCAGCCGCAAAGTGGTAGGCCACACAAGCTCACAGAACGGGACCGCAGAGTGCTGAAGCACGTAGCGTATTTCTGTTTTGAGTATGTTATCAACTCCGTCAGTGGCTTGTCAACTCCGTCACTGATGGCTAACCCCCTTAAGATTGTCAATATTCTGAAAAAGTATTTGAATCACTGTTGTGCAACATATGCTTAAACAATTGAAGTAACTACGCCAGTGCTAGCTAGGCTATACTAGCAGAAGTTACTATATGCATGTTATGTTTCAACACAAGCTACACTCAGTCACTTCTCTTAGGATAATCTGCTCTGTGTTCTGGCTAGTGACCCAGAGGGGGTAGTTTAGTAGACCACAATCGGGAGCATAAATAGAACAGGTCACCTGACTACTGGTCCCAGTCTCATTGGCACATGGGGAAAACAGACTAAGTTACCCCATGCAAAACCTCAGGACCTCAGCAAGTCATAACCCCTCCCTCTTCTTCACAACCAGGTAAAAGTGAGTCAGTCATTCCAGGATTCTCACCCCCGGAGACTTGCTGCTGGCCTGCACGGTGCACCCCTCCCCCGTGAACCAGCACTTTCCTCAGTATCAGATGAACTGGAGAAAAGCTTGGAATGTCTACTGGGTTGGCTGCTGCAAAGCCTTCAAACTGGGAAGGAGGGATGCTGGATTTGATCCACTGCATTGCACTGAGAGCTGTTTCTATAAACCAATCGTGTGACTGATTACATTAAACAAATGAGAAGAGAGGATGTTTTAGAACTTTACTGCTTGGCTGTTCCCTCATTTTTGCTCATCGATCAGATCTTAGAGTTCAAGTGTTACGTCTGGAAATCCAATCAATGCATAATGCATTGATAATCTAAAGTTCTGTTTGCAAGAGAGATTCCTCAGCACTTAGTGGGGGATTCAGGGGTGACTCATTTTCTCCACTCAGGCCTCTCCCTCAGCTGAGTGTGTATCAGCTTCCTGCTCTCAACTCTACAGGCCTCCTCAGATAGACTGAATGGCTATCTCCTTTAACCCCTTCACTGCCTCTACATACAACAGTCCCCTGTAACTCGGCCCAGTGTTTACACATAGTATAACATCACCTGGAGAGGAAGAGCATCAGAGACTGCACTTTATGGCAGTGTAAATACATACGTCTGGTTATCGGGTCAGACATTAAAGTTGTGTGTGGGCGGTACTGTATCCGAAAGGGTCCAAAGTCAAAGACAAATGACACTCCGCACCTTAGATCACATGCATGCACACACACACAGATTTACACTCATCCACACACACACACACACACACACACACACACACACACATTCATGCTACACATACTACATACTGCTCTCTCTCTCTCTCGTATTAAAGTATCGACACACATACACACACACACACAGATAAACACACACTGATTGGTTATTGTTTCAGCTAACAGTATATAAAGTGTGATAAAGTGAGGCACATGGGGATTAGGTGTGCTGTAATCTGTGGTGTCAGACAGCTGGCCCTGGTCTGGGCCATCTCACAGCTGTGTGTGTAAGATTTAGACACAACACTTCCCCTGCTGACTGAATGCCAGAGTGCTATGCCAGAGTGCTATGTCTCACACTCACACACGCACACAGTGTTGAGTGGGAAACCAACTTCCTCTTATATTGGTTATTCATCATGCAAAGCCAGTTTTTGGAGTTGTGAGTGTTCCTATGGTGACTACGAAGTCCATTTAAAGACAGGAGAATGCCCAGCTGTTGATGGGATATGCCCAGTAGGCCTAAACAAATGAGCAATGTTTGGCATTTGATTGACACACCCTTTCTCACCCTTTCAAACAATATACATTAACACAGGAATATTTTGATATTCCAAAATGAAAAGTGACCAGAAATAATGTAAGAAGAAAATCTTTCTAGAATTTGTGCATATAAAAAGGTCTATACAAATGTAAACAATGTTATTAAAACATTGTTACAGCTTCATAAACTATAGTTTACACTATAAGGGCAGCATGAAAGTATAGCATACTTAATATAATAATGGTGTTATCAAATGTATTGTGCATGGAAATGTAAAGCGACCTCAGTTTTACGTTCTTTTCTTTTTGTTCTGTTTTGATTGGCAAATGTCATTGCTTTTCCTATGGTTGAATCCACGTTGTTCAGTCTCTGTCCATATATGGCATCCTCAGATATCATGATTTGACATAGCTCAATTTAAGTCATTGTGTCTCTGTTAACATTTGGTCATTCATAACGATGGTTGTTTTACTCCAATTACGCAGAACAAATTAACATTGACGAAATATTGGACCCATAAACAGAAGGGGGAAAAAAATACTCGATCACCCTCACTTAAAGTTGCTGCAAATAGTGTCCAACCAGCGAAACATCGGCAGTAGTATAGTACTGATTGCAAATTTCGTTTTCAGAATATATCTCGTAGCCTATAATGATCATCGAAAGAATATAACGGTCCGGTTCTGGTTAAATCAGAGCTTTAAACGGCTTCTACATTGCTGCATTGATTTGATGGGTCATTGTAACAAAGGCACCAGAGGGGCGGTCCACAATGTCTAACATAATTGCATTTCTTACCTTATGCTGTCTGATTTAGACGTTTTCTAGGCCTCGGCGGGTATTTTGGTGCTGCGGGACAGGAGAGGGTTTAATTCGGCAGGACCGTGTTGCTTGGCAGGGTGTGTTGGTACGTCTGGTCTGGGCCGGGCAACTCCCCTATATGACACAAGCAAGGCCTCGCTCAGCTACAAACAGAGCAAGCTGGCATTTAACCACTCCCTGTCTGGATGACAACCACAGATGACAACGCAGCATGATAGTTGACTATTACAGCCCACCAATTTTGTATGACTTGGATGGAGTAGGCCTACAGCAGCGTCTTGCAGACTCTCTGTTTTTAATGGATTGTTCGAAAGCACATAATAAAAATGGCCCCTCTTTTTGTTAATGTTATGCATCCAAACGTGGCCATAAAACACTGAAAAACGATTAAATTATGTTGCAGTTTATTTTGACAACGCTTTGACAGATAAATATCACCTTTTGATTTACGTCTTCACCGTTGGAGTGAGTCATTATGAATGTCAGTGAAGTTTGCCTGTTGGAGAGACCATGGCACCATCTGCTGGTAAGGCTAAAGTAGACCTACAGCTACAGTGGGGCAAATAAGTATTTAGTCAGCCACCAATTGTGCATGTTCTCCCACTTAAAAAGATGAGAGAGGCCTGTAATTTTCATCATAGGTACACGTCAACTATGACAGACAAAATGAGAAAAAAAATTCCAGAAAATCACATTGTAGGATTTTTAATGAATTTATTTGCAAATTATGGTGGAAAATAAGTATTTGGTCACCTACAAACAAGCAAGATTTCTGGCTCTCACAGACCTGTAACTTCTTCTTTAAGAGGCTCCTCTGTCCTCCACTCGTTACCTGTATTAATGGCACCTGTTTGAACTTGTTATCAGTATAAAAGACACCTGTCCACAACCTCAAACAGTCACACTCCAAACTCCACTATGGCCAAGACCAAAGAGCTGTCAAAGGACACCAGAAACAAAATTGTAGACCTGCACCAGGCTGGGAAGACTGAATCTGCAATAGGTAAGCAGCTTGGTTTGAAGAAATCAACTGTGGGAGCAATTATTAGGAAATGGAAGACATACAAGACCACTGATAATCTCCCTCGATCTGGGGCTCCACGCAAGATCTCACCCCGTGGGGTCAAAATGATCACAAGAACGGTGAGCAAAAATCCCAGAACCACACAGGGGGACCTAGGGAATGACCTGCAGAGAGCTGCGACCAAAGTAACAAAGCCTACCATCAGTAACACACTACGCCGCCAGGGACTCAAATCCTGCAGTGCCAGACGTGTCCCCCTGCTTAAGCCAGTACATGTCCAGGCCCGTCTGAAGTTTGCTAGAGTGCATTTGGATGATCCAGAAGAGGATTGGGAGAATGTCATATGGTCAGATGAAACCAAAATATAAATTTTTGGTAAAAACTCAACTCGTCGTGTTTGGAGGACAAAGAATGCTGAGTTGCATCCAAAGAACACCATACCTACTGTGAAGCATGGGGGTGGAAACATCATGCTTTGGGGCTGTTTTTCTGCAAAGGGACCAGGACGACTGATCCGTGTAAAGGAAAGAATGAATGAGGCCATGTATCGTGCGATTTTGTGGAGATGGGAGAACCATCTCTGCAGCAATCCACCAATCAGGCCTTTATGGTAGAGTGGTCAGACGGCAGCCACTCCTCAGTAAAAGGCACATGACAGCCCGCTTGGAGTTTGCCAAAAGGCACCTAAAGACTCTCAGACCATGAGAAACAAGATTCTCTGGTCTGATGAAACCAAGATTGAACTCTTTGGCCTAAATGCCAAGCGTCACGTCTGGAGGAAACCTGGCACCATCCCTTAGGTGAAGCATGGTGGTGGCAGCATAATGCTGTGGGGATGGTTTTCAGCTGCAGGGATTGGGAGACTAATTAGGATCAAGGCAAAGATGAACGGAGCAAAGTACAGAGAGATCCTTGATGAAAACCTGCTCCAGAGCACTCAGGACCTCAGACTGGGGTGAAGGTTCACCTTCCAACAGGACAGCGACCCTAAGCACACAGCCAAGACAACGCTGGAGTGGCTTCGGGACAAGTCTCTGAATGTCCTTGAGTGGCCCAGCTAGAGCACAGACTTGAACCCAATCGAAAATCTCTGGGAGACCTAAAAATAGATGTGCAGCGACGCTCCCCATCCAACCTGACAGAGCTTGGGAGGATCTGCAGTGAAGAATGGGAGAAACTCCCCAAATACAGGTGTGCCAAGCTTGTAGCGTCATACCCAAGAAGACTCGAGCCTGTAATCGCTGCCAAAGGTGCTTCAACAAAGTACTGAGTAAAGGGTCTGAATACTTATGTAAATGTGATATTTCCATTTTTTATTTGTAATAAATTAGCAAACGTTTCTAAAAACCTGTTTTTGCTTCATCATTATGGGGTATTGTGTGTAGATTGATGAGGGAAAAAAACAATTGAATCAATTTTAGAATAAGGCTGTAACGTAACAAAATGTGGCAAATGTCAAGGGGTCCGAATACTTTCCGAAGGCACTGTATTGTGTATATTTGGCCTTGTGTTTTTGGTCATTGTCCTGCTGAAAGGAACATTTGTTTCCCAGTATCTGTTGGAAAGCAGACTGAACCAGGTTTTCCTCTAGGATTTTGCCTGTGCTTAGTGCTATTCAGTTTATTTGTATCCTACAAATATCCCTAGTACTTGCCAATGACAAGCATACCCATAACATGATGCAGCCACCACCATGCTTGAAAATATGAAGAGTGGTACTCAGTGATGTGTTGTATTTGCCCGAAACATAACGCTTTGTATTCAGGACATAAAGTGAATTTCTTTGCCACATTTTTTGCAGTTTTACTTTAGTGCCTTATTGCAAACAGGATGCATGTTTTGGAATATATTCTGTACAATCTTCATTCTTTTCACTCTGTCATTTAGGTTAGTATTGTGGAGTAAATACAATGTTGTTGATCCATCCTCAGTTTTCTTCTATCACAGCCATTAAACTCTGTAACTGCTTTAAAGTCACCATTGGCCTCATGATGAAATCCCTGAGCGGTTTCCTTCCTCTCCGGCAACTGAGTTAGGAAGGACACCTGT